CAGTGAAAAACAGCAGTGAAAACAGGCCGGTTGAATAGTCTCCCAAATCTCACGTAATGCTCCAAAGCATGCAGAGTTCCGCCAGATTGCACGATCACCTTCGTCAGTGACTGGGCAATAACAATTGACTCCTAGAGATAGTATAACTAACGGCGTTGCATGTAAAAAAAATCTTGCTGTAGCCCTGACCTATAGTCCACGGAAGAAAAGCCAGACACTCCCACTCGACAAGCCTACGCTCACAAGGAACTACAGAACAAACAATTACTAAGCAAACAAAAGGCGATGACAGTGATATGTTCAAACGTGCCAGAACCAACTAGTGAATCGCTAAAAGGTAGACAAGCCGAGGAGCAAAACCGCTGGGTTTAAATAACCTGCACAGTCGGGCTGAAATTCTTACATGCCTTTCACGAAATCCATCATCTCCACATATAGGCGAATCTCGGTTAATGCGAGTAACCTTTGACAACACACGCGACCTAGAAGATGTTCTCTTAGCAAGCCACATTCTAGTGAACTCTTATGTCAGTGCCCGTATTTTCCCTAACAGGCCATGGGAAGAAGCGGAAATCCAACCCTAGTTCGTCACCTCAAGATGAGATGAAGAAAGTGGTACTGGTTCATGGTGTGCCAGAAGTGAAGCATGACGATAGCAGTGAACGACAGAAGCACGATATAGAAGAAGGGAGGTACATCACAGAGCTCTACGACATGCAGAATGTCGTGGTTTTTGACGTCACCCGTCTAATTTCCTCCACAAACTACCAAGGCAGTGGGCCACGGATTTTGAAGTTACCTTGGCTGCGCACGAAATGGTATCAGTTGCGATCCAAAACATGGCATGACAAAAGGAAACTTGGGCCACCAGAAGTACGGTTAGGACCATTTCTTCAATTAGCACAGACCTCAGATAAAGATGAGCACGTCTCAGTTGCACCTATATCTGATCAGCCAACTGTGCAAACAATCGTTCCAAAAAAACATCAGCAGATCGGCACTATTTGTACCGGTCACTCACAGCGAACCGAGCTCCTATGGCGTCAACAGATACAAGACTGCTACACCAACATTCAGGGGTTGTATTTTAAGCTCTCGAAAATGCGCTATCGACATAAAACAACAACATGGGATCTCATAGCAGTTACTGAAACTTGGCTTTCAAACAACATACTTGATCCAAAGATTGAACTCAGTGAGATGTCAGTCATTCGAAATGATCGTCCATCTCGCGGTGGCGGTGTTGCTCTCTACTATCGAGATTACTTGAAATGTGAGGCATTTACCGAAAATTCCCTTGTTATTCCCGACACACTATTTTGCTGACTGCACCTAGTAGGCCGAGATGTTGGTTCACAGAGGACGTGTGATGCTTGCATCTTAGCAGTTATCTATAGGCCTCCGAACTCGTCAGCAGACCGATAACACTCTGTTAAACGCCATCCGCTATGCTGTTTCACAAAAGTACTTTCACTATCTTATAATGGGCGACTTTAACGTTCCTTCAATAGCATCAATGTCCCCTAATGGGCCATCATTTAAATCGAAACTCCATGAATTCATGGATATGGCACTTTTGTATAGCCATGTGCATCGACCAACCAGACATCGCGGTTCAAACAAGCCATCGCTCCTGGACTTAATCCTGACTAATAAAAAGTTGATGGTTGAGTTATTAACATACAGTCCTCCACTGGGCCGTGGCGACTATTCAGCCCTAACGTTTGGTTATGTGTGTTATGCAAGTACTGTGGATAAGGAAAGAGCAACTCAACGAACTACTACGGACTATTTTAAGCTGCACAACTTAGCAGCAACCGTTGACTGGGACCTACAGACGCACGGTTCAGCGAATGACGCGTGGAACGAACTGAAAGATAAAATTAACTGGGTCATACAATCAGCATCGAATGTTGTACCATTACGAGCATCGCTCCGGACCACTAGATGGTCCCGAGGCAGAACACGTAAATGGATCAACGGAAGATATGAGATCTGGAGGCAACATTCGCTAAGCCCCCATGTGATACCACACAGCAGAATTACAAAGCAATCAGAAACTACTGCACGTCGCTCATTAGAGTCGATAAGTACGACGGGCAGAATATCATGATGCTGAAATTTAAACGAGTAACACCAGACTACTATACAGATTTGTGAATTGCAAAAGCAAGGTTAAGCCCGGAATACCAACACTCAAGAAGGCCAATGGCCTAAAACTATTATTCTCCTTCCTGTTTTATCGAAAGTGATGGAGTCGGTAATCGCCGATGAACTGGCGCGATATTTTGAAAGTCAACACATGATTTTTAATCTCAACATGGTTTCAGACGCAGGCGATCTTGTCTCACTAATTTGCTGCTTACTCGGAACTCATGGACGAGGGGGGCTGATGAAGGAGTCCCCACAGATGTGCGTTACTTGGATTTTTCTAAAGCATTCTACAGGGTCAATCACTTCTTTCGCTTTCAAAAGCTTGCTGCTTACGGTATCAACGGTTCCCTGCTCACCTGATTGGAAGACAGAGCAATCAGTAAGAGTAGCTGAAACTCACTCTGAGTCTGTGCGTCTTCAGTGTGGTACCGCAAGGATCCGTCTTCGACCGGTACTGTTTTAGTCTACATTAATGACCTTCCAGCAGACTTTCTACCTCCGATGCAAATATTTGCAAACGATGCTAAAATATGGAGAGCAATTCGCTCAGCATCCGACCGTGTCTACCTCCAGCAAGATCTGACTCGGATTAACGAATGGGCAGAAAGGAACCAGCCCCCACCGAACCCTGCAAAGTACCACCTGCTGACGGTGCGCAGCAGATTCGTCAACACATACCTATTGGGGTAACACGTGACTAGTGAACGCGACCTAGGTATAATCATGCAAGAGTCTTGGCAATTCGCTCCAATGTTCGAAAGCAGCAAGTGTGGCGAACTTGAACTTGAGACTTTTGAGGCAAGCTCTCGGCACGATTGAGTGACGGCTAGTACCATTGCTTATTAACTCCTACATTCGTCCTCACGTTGAATATGCAATTCACGCCTGGTGTCCATGGTTAAACCGAGACACCCGCCTATTGGAACAGCCCCAAAGGTAACCTGTGGACTATCCGGTCTAAGTTATGAACTGCGTCTTCGTGTACTTGGTGTGTTCTCAGAATACCGACGGCTTCGCGGAGATCTTACTCTCACATACCGGATACTAACCGAAAGCGAGCATCCATATACAACACTGTTGACTCTAGCCCCATACAAACAAAACCGAAGCAACCACCTGAAACTAATTACGCAGCACTCCCGTCTGAATTGTATAAAGTATTTTCACTCACTTAGAATCTGTTCTCACTGGGATGCATTACCACGATATGTGGTGAACGCACCAGACATGACGACATTCGAAAGACTCATAGACTTTCATCTTAGTGATAAACGCTACACAACAGTTTGGTAAAGTGCGATGATTTAACCACTGATACTCCACGTTCCAAGTTGGAACATTTTGATTTTAATTTCCTTTTGCGTATCCATCCTGTAGGGCTTTTACAGTTGTGTTTTTTGTCCCATCATACACTAATGAACTATTTAACATTGGGCAGGTTGTCGCCATAACAAGTTAAACTGTACAAAGGAATGCACTGAGTCAGTAAGTTGTGACCAGCCATGCAGTTGCTGTGTTCCTGGCTGGCAATTCATATATCAATTGTGATGCTTCGCTATGCAAAGACACCTGGCGCTGTTAACCACGTAGCTTACTAGGTAGTTGGATACTAACAATGCGGGAGAATAGCTTTTTAATGTGCATGCACTAGGGCGAGCAACTATAAAGCTGCCAATCACCGGTTTGCTCAATCGACACCTTTCGGAGGCTCATCGCTGTTCATCATGCACGCACCAGCCTATCCAATGCACAAGTTTACAGCCGCTTCTTCCAGACATCATATATTGGTATAGCATATGCGCATCAGTTGTTGGTGCATGCCGACATGTCGGACATGATGTTCACTGTCAGGAAAATAGGAGCAACGGACAGAAGCACATCTTTGCTTAGTCGCACCAGCCTACTGACAAAGATGCGTTGTGTAGTCTAGGTGCGGAATTGATTTCACAGTCACGTGGTTTGTTTGGCACACAAATCACTCAGCTGTACTGCACGGCGGATACACCCACCGGTGACACCTAGACTAGGGCCTGCAGGGTTGGCGTACGGTGCACCAGTGTCGTGCCAATCGCTGAGCAGAAAAGATACCTGCTTATCGATCAGCAGCAACTTTCGCCATTACTAAGGGGTAACAAAGAGGATGCGCATCACTGCAACCAAAACTCGGGTGCGCCAATGCACATCAATCAATTGCTCAGCACCGACCGTGGCAAATTATCACTCGTCATCAGCGTCAGATCACCCAAGTTCCCGTCTACTAGTATTGTGAACCCCTTTGGCAAGCGTCACCGTCTGATGTAATGCAGACAAGTGTCAGAAACCTAGGTCAATTGCCGGTAAAGCCCTCAACTAACGTTTGGTTAGCATTTTGGTGTGTGAAATCGGCGTGCATCATAAGGTGGCAAGTTATAGCCCTCCGAACTGCAGAGCCTTTCCTTATCGGTGATGAAAATGTTACACAGACCCTCAGGCAGTGGTTGGTGTAGTGCAGTGCAAAACATACGACAGTTAGTACGCCTGCTAGGATATTGCGTGAAGCTTCGCAGTTACAACTTAACCCGGGTGATCCCAGAAGAGTCAACGACGGACAGCACAACACTATTCCAATTTGAGGCATAGGAGTGAAAATAAACGGTTTCACCAATACGCCGGTAGAAGCGCCGAACACATGCGAGTGAACCGGGAATTTAAAGACGGCAAAAATTACCTAAGCGAGAGGCTGCCTCCTGTTACTGTACTTAAGAAATACTTCTATGGCGTCCACATGCGCTCAATTAGGTTTCTACCCATATAGACGGTAAGACCATGAGCCCCCTGAAAAGACAATCATTTTGACAATGCGTATGTAAAGTTAGTAACTCTGTATGCACAACGGCTTTAGATAAAATGAGGAAATAAAATTCGGATAAGAAGTAAACATGGATGTCAAGTAAATTGCGGAGTATCAACACTCGTCATTGCAAGACACAAACGCGGTTGCATGCGGTTCTTTGAGGTGCACTAACCGGCCCTTTCCTCAGTATTCGCTACTGCATGGAGGTTCATATCTTCTTGCAGTTCGACAGATTCCGGATCTATGGTGTGCGGAGGATAGATGAAATTAGCCTCTCTGGACAAGTTGCTGGTTTTGATCCGGCCGATTCGATAGCTCATCACGGCTGCGAGTAGGACTATGGCAGTGAAGTCGATGAGTAGATGGTAACAGAATAGATTTGCGGCCCGTGGCATACTCTGTTTGGCCAATTCATCCCACCTCGGCATCCAGTAGGTGATTGGATAAAGTATGGCACCCACCTAAGGGGAGGAGAATATACAGTAACAACAAGTGCTTCCTCCTTTGTACGTGAAAAACGGTAAGCGATGCATTGGGTGATATGTAAATGCGTAACAAAAATTAAACACGGTGGGATGTTGAATCAAAGTGACATTGATGGAGCTGAGGCGAGAGAATGATAATGTGAAGCCGATATTACACGAAAGTGTTCACTAGCTAGAATGTTTGGAGTTGGATTCTTCTTACAAATGCTGAGGACAGAGATGAAGTTGCCTTCTGTGAATATGACACTTCACAAACAGACCGTTTAAACTTTTTAAATGAATGCGAGGTGCACAAGTACAAAGCGCGCTATTCGAGCGATTCCGACAACTGTCTGATGAAGAGAACTCATGAAGTGGTATTACAGCAAAAAAGCTCAATGGAGAACGCAGTTTCGTTTGTGTTGCATTTTCCAAACTTAGGTCGGACAGTGACATAGCAATCATCACACATATGATGCATACGATCTGTCCCTTGGTGGGCACACGGTTTCTCGGTAACACGAGAAATATACATTATTAGTATTAGTATTATTATTCGGAATAAGCTGGCTGCCTGCTGAACCTTAAAATATGGAAAACTGCAGAAGAGTACAAGCTCCATGTATAATACACAATCTAGTGGAGATTGCCGTGCTGTGTTTTCTCGCCAGCGCATAGTAGTACTGAGGGTTATTCACGCGTTTGTGGACGCTGGTTAGGTACATTTGACACGCAATACATGTAGAATTAGTTGTGCGTACGAACGAGTTTCGTAGTTTGGATCGACTGACCAGCCTCTTTTGAGGGCGGAGATTCAGACCAGATGCTTGAAGGCGTACAGACAACACTTCGCGATGCTGACAGCCTAACAGTAGTGAGTGAATTAATACTCGCATATATCCGACAAACCTGGCTTGCCCTATGTGCCTGCAACCGGGCCGGTGATCAGTTAACTGGTGGGTGGATATTGCGTGAAAGTCGAGATGAACAATGTTCAAAGTTTATTCGGTGACTATGGTAGCTATGACTGTCTTTTGGCTGTCAAAGTCATTTGTCATCTTTAGATAGGAGCTGAACAGCTCTTGATAATGGGGGATCTATCTATAAGCACTAAGCGATGAGGTGGATCGCGGCCGTTGAGTTGAGTGGGAAATTGTTCTCTTCTATTTTATCTAGTGGGTGTTCACAGTTGACCTTCATGGGTAAATGCAAGGAACTCGTAACATTGGCAAGTAGTACAGCAGTTTAGGAGTTTTGTCGCTTGGACAAACTGTGAGTCAGGCAAATACACCTATCAACAGTCAAATGTATCCACAGCAAAATTAAATTCCTCATTAAGGAAGTTATTTTCCTCCATAGATAACTCGCAATTGTTCATGTCGCAATCAAAGCGCACATGCCCCCACATGTGGCCAATTCCAAATCAGTCAATAGCATATCAGAAGAGCCTACGGCACGGGGCGCAGATGGCTCTGGAACTCAGACCCACTTGCGGCATTATGGTTTGTGGCGCAGACTGACCGCTTATTGGAAGGTGTCAACGCATGTTCAACACTCAAAATCAGCAACGACTGACCATAAGGTAGTTAGTTAGTTTCCTGCAAGTTAGCCAAGTTGGCAAAATTAAAAATAATCTAGGTGATGCAAGAAGATACATGCTTATGAAGGTTCGTTACAATTAAACTCAGGCAGACAGCCAGCACAAATCTAGGAAAGCGCTAGACGGCCGTTTCGCCGAATCCTGCTGGATTCGAACCCACGACCTTAGTATTGCGAGCCAGTGACTGATGCCACTGAGCCATGGGCGATGGCAGCGGACCGCCATGGTTGATACCTAACTGCGATGTAGCGCGGTTCATCATTTACGGGAGATTGGAATGTCGAAAAAGCTTAGTAAGTGGGTGCCATCCGAATTTAATGAAGTCGTCGTTTGGAAATGTCATCTGCCTTTGTTCTGCGCAATAAAAACGACGTGTTTCTCGATCGCATTGTAACGTGCGATGAAGTGTATATTTTACGACAATGGACGACGACGCGGTGCGCAATGGTTGGATCACGATCAAGCTCCGCAACAATTCCCAAGTCAAAATTGCTGCCAAAGGAGATTTTGATGACTGGTAGTCCGCGGCTGGTTTGATCCGTTTTAGCTTTCTGAATCCAAATAAAACCATTACAGCGGAAAAGTATTGACGGCAAATTGCCGAAATGTACCGAAAGGTTCAACACTAATGTTCTATACTGTTCAGCAGAAAGGGGTCAATTCTTTACCACGATAACGCTTGTTGACACAATCAACCCTGCGGTGGCTGCAAGAGCTGAGCTACGAAATTTTTCCTCGCCTAGCGATTACCACTTTTGCAAGCTGCTGGATAGCTCCTTCAAAAACCAAGTAGATGCTGAAATCACACTCGAGGAGTTCACCGACACCAGAACTTCGGAATTTTATTCCTCCAAGATAACCGAACTTGTTTCACATTGACAAACGTGTGTCAATTCAGATGGCCTTTATTTCGAGCCAAGTTAAGTGCATACAAAATTCGGGGGCTTAGGAATCGCAGAAATTCTAGTAACAACATATTAAAGTAAACCGTAGTCCAAATTCAAACTGCATGTCATAAGCAATTCATCCTAGGGGTAGTCCAAAAACGTATATATTGGCGGCATCCGGTTCCGGATTTGCCTGTCACTGCGGTCTTCTCGGGGAAAGCCACAGGACGCCTGCGCCTACAGAAGGACCATGGATGGCTTGCGCTGCACCACCCACAGCTCCAACCACATACCCCATATCCAGTGTAAACCTGAAGGAATAAGACCGGCAGGCATGCGGATGGGAACCACGTTTCATCAACGGAGCCGGCCCACACTCCTTCACAGGCAAACACAAGCACGCCGTATTTGGGGAATTAAGTACACACAAAGTGGTGGCTGCATTGCAGTCCGCTCCACACACAAACTATGTGCAGAGAACCAATCTTCCAGCTTAACACGGTCACGAGGACTATGTACCCTATCCCCTCCAACAACGACCAACTGCCTCCTGGAACCAGTATGGACAAGGTAGTGGGTAATAGACACGCAGGCACCTTGTCAACATGCAAATCAAGCGCAACGACACTGGGGATGTCAAGCAACAGTCAATCACTTGGAATGACGAGATCAAAGAAAATAAATCGGATAATGTATACGGAGATGTCTACATAACTCTTCGCTAAATCGGTATAAATAATAAATTGGCTGTCAATAAATCCGCGTTAAGTTCAAATGTCATAAAATATATTTTTAAGTAATGCCACAAACGCAAATTTGTTAACGAAGATAACCACAATTAGCTTAAGCGACGTGCGAAGGTTGGTAGATTATACAGGTAAACGTCAAAATGAAGTAAAAAAAGCATTGAGAAAAGATAGCAAACCCACCAGCTGAAATAAGATAAACTCAGCACGCAAGCGCGCCGTTAGTAAATCGGATGCAGCGTACCTACAAACGCTGCGCCGGTTCTACTTACGTTCTCAGCAGGACCCGTCGTCGTTTCAGCGGTGGTCTCGAGTGGCCTCGCTCATGGCCCACTAGGCCTGCCTGACTCAGGCACTCGCGACCGCATGCGCTACAGCACCATGCGCTCGAGGTCGATGGAGTACAGCCCATCGGCGCCTGTCACCTCCGCATTTCCCGCATCTCTGCACGCACGGGGGCTTTCAATTGCAACTCGGCAACTGCCTTCGTGATCAGATCCCACCATGCACGCCGAACAACCGTCTTCGATTCCCAACATCTCAAATCATCATGAGAAGGTGATAGGATCACTTTGATCATGTCCTGGTAAGGAAGCTTCAGTTTCCCCACATGCCGCTTCCCTACAATCAGTTGAGCATATAACAGCTGCTGCGGTATCCGCGTCGAATCCATAAGCCACACATGACCGAGCCATCTCAAGTGTCTCAGTAAAAGTATGCAGTCCACTGCATACATTCCACTTGGTGCAGCACCTCCATGTCTGAAAATCTGTCGCACCAACCGATGTACAGAATCCGTCGCAGACACTGTTGTTGAAACCGCTTGAGATATCTCACGTCTCGCCGGTACATCGTCCAAGTTTCTCTGCCGTATAGAAGAACGGACAGCACCATAGATTTGTACACCATCAGCTTCGTACCGACGGTAAGCTGGTGGCTGTTCCACACTCGGTAGCCAAGCTTCCCGAATGTCGCTGCTGCCTTCGACACGCGAATACCCAGCCGACTGTGTAGCTGCTGGTCAGTCGAAACCACACAACCAAGGTAGCAGAAGCGCAAGGTGGTTTCCAATACTTCAGCACCAATGCTGATTCGCGGCAATATTGAAGAGTGCAACTCCGGTGAAGGCTGAAAGAGACAGACAGTTTTGCTTGTGTTGGTGGCGAGCACGAATTTGGCCGCTGTCGAAGCCAGAGTACTAGTCATGAGCTGCAATTCATTCGCGCTGTGTGTAAACAGGGCACAGTCGTCAGCGGACAGCAACATACGGATAGTTGTCTCACAGACTAGGGTTCTCGCACCGAAACGACGGAAGTGCAGTAACCCACCATCAATACAGTGCTCCACGCGAACACCGTAAGCACAAGCCGCATCAAAAGCACAAGAAATCATTGCATGAAGATAAACATTAAAAAGGACAGGAGCTAAGACACATTCTTGCTTCACACCAAACTACAAAGTCATCCGAGATCTCTCCACTCAGTCGCACTCTCGCCCGCATACCCCTGTGCAGACATCCAATCAAACTCACTCGGACAATCGATATATATATATATATATATATATATATATATATATATATATATATATATATATATATATATGGCGCCATCAGAACCATGAGGAACTAAAAAAGGGAAAAGAAATACATGTGAAGAGAGCGATTGTTGTGGGTTTTACACACCCTGTCTTGAGATATATGGTGAAGTTTGGAGTTTTTTGTTCGATGACATGTGAACTAATAGACAACGCGGTTAAACTGCACTGTCTCCACTGACGCCTGTTGCGTGTCATAGTCTTCGACATTTCTAGCTACTGGTAATCCGAAACGTGTGGTCCCCATCCTGTAAAGCGGACCCGTCCGACGGATGCTAAGTTGTATTCTTCATGCTCCTTCTCCATGCCATTGGTTGTCCACCGCGACCGTTTTTCCAGTCGCTTCCGGGGAGCGCAAATAAAGCTCGACGGGGAAGGCAATAATCTGGGATGCGCAATACGTGGCCGAGCCAACGCATGCGTTGCCAGAGAAAAACCGTTTGAAGGCGCGGACTGTTTGCTCCAAACACTCACTCTCGGACGTCTGTGTTACGCACGTGATACTGCCACCATACACGAGCAATTCTAAGCAGACGATTGTCAAAAGCTGGCAATCGTTTTATGTCTTTCGAGCGATTCGGCTAGGTCTCACAACCGTACAGGAGGACCGCACGGACAGAGGCAATGTAAACCCTACCTTTGAGTATGAGACTGACGTCGCGACGGCGCCATAAGTGTCCCAACCTGATGAATGCAAGGCGAGCCTTTGTGAGACCTCTTCTCCAATAGAGCCGCCAGCTGTGATGTAACTCCCAAGATAAGTGAGGCTGTGGACTTGTTCCAGGACGTCACCAGCAATAGTGAGGGCAGACAGGCATCTGCCAGTTCTGGAGTAAAATTTTACATTTGCCTGGCGTGAAACAAATGTCATAGTTAGATGCCTCCATCGCCAAGCGGTTCAGAGCGCTCTGGACAGCTTGTGGATCGTCCCCGAGCAAAGCGATATAGTCGGCGCAGTCCAAGTCCGCGACTTTGTCACCTGGGTGAAACTCAATACCGCAGTTTTGAGGGCCTCTCAATATTTGTTGGACGACATCTTCAATGGCAAAATTGAGGAGCAAAGGTGAGATGGGGTGACCTTGGCACACGCCGCTGGTGATAGTAAACGAGGTGAACAGCGTCCCGTAACCTTGAATTTGTCCGACGTTTTACTGTAGAGATGCTACAAGATGCTTACAAACTTGTCGGGCACCTCTTTTCTTGGTAGACAGTTCGACGACGCATATCTATCTACTGAGTCAAAAGCCGCTCGGATGTCCAAGAACAATATGATGGTTGGCCGTCAGTGGACGTGATGGAGTTCAAGCAGTGGGCGGAGTGTGAAGATGTGGTCAATGCAACCTCGACTTGGACGGAAACCCGCTTGGTCCTCTCGGTAAACGAATTTGATATTTGCTGAGAGCTTGCGGAGTAGAACAGATACGAAAATCCTAGAGGCAACAGAGATCAATGAAATTGGTGCAATCCGAATATCCAAAAATAATATTCCTCATTCATCTCATCCTAAGGAGTTTCATGATGATTTTTATTAGTCCACGTGGCCAGTGAAGCAGGGGGGGCTAAGACTGCTTACGTGGGCAGTATATGGTCTGCTAGAGTGTGGTTCAACCCTGCATTTCGGGTTGGTTGATACTTGTAAACACCTTATCAACCCATGAGTCAATCACCTGCTCAAGTAGGAAAACCTATATGATTCACTCGTAGCTCAAGCCAAACCTGAGCTTGAATTGGAAAAAATATGGTTTTGTGAAACGAGCTAGCGCAACTCAAACAACAACAACAACATCAGAGTTAATAGGCTGAGACGGTGAATTTCGAGAAAACCCACCTGCCAGAACCACGTTCCTTGGACCAATAAGCCCCAGCAACGCAACAGAGCGAACAGGGGTTTGTCCGGATTGTGAACCTCAAACATGCCCGCCACAATGGAAATGAGGATGGCACCCAACAGAAGCATGTGCAGGAACACGTCCACTGGTGTGCGGCCGTGAAGATGGAAAGCGAACAAGAAACCCTCACAAAGCAGTGCCACGAGGGAGAACATGTATTCTACTTGGCTGCGGGGAAATGAAAACAAGAGACATGGAAGTGAATTGATGCGACTTTGGAGAGTGCAGGTGACTTCTCACATGTGGTTCAGCCACGTGAAAACTGTGTGCTATACAGTTAAATAGTAGGGAATGAACACACAGTAAGTTCCGGGGCAATATTGTTCATTTCAAATGCATTCATTAATCACTTCAAGAATATCTATTGAGCTTCTGAAATTCCTGCTGTGTGCGAACGGACTGTGGCACGCAATCACAATCTGGACCAACATTCACTTGGGAGTATATCTCGGTCATTCAGATCACTGGGTCGTTACGAAAGTAGCCAAATTTTAGGCGTTGCTACCACCCAACCCTGCACTCCATTAGCGACTTCATCGTTGTCTTATAGAAGGAAAGGAACGAGACTAGGGTTTCAAACAAGGACGCAGAGATTGCAGTCGTAGTTGTCGCTGGGCCATCGAGCTCTGCGGTTGCAGTCTTGTAAGTCAGAATAGGCCCAGTACACTTAAATGGGTGCATTCGTGGCATTTATATCATTGTGGATGCACTAAAGAATGGTATCAAACGAGAAACGAAACACAAGTTAAAAAGCAAAATACCAAGTGTACGCAACTACTAATCCAGTGAACGGTCGAGCATGACCATGGTAACTTTCGTTGAATGAACGGGTAGGCGCGACAGATGCGGTAAATGTTTTACCTCCGTCAGAACAACGCTACGGCTCTTGTGGACTGTGTTCCGCGCGGATAAGTGACTGATGGAATTCAGATAGACGCACCCGACTGACTTAGTCAGCCTACGTTTCTTCCTCACTGTACTGGAAGTGACACAAACACGGCACGACTACTCGGCACCCGAGAGAGAAGAAGACAATGGTCTTCCGCGAAGCGTTTACTACAGAAGCGAAGACACGCAAGGACGAAGGTGAAGACGAATGCGAAAGTACGAGTTATTGATAGTAAGGCTGGTCTTAAAAAGTGTGACTCTGGTTTTAGGAAGCATTCACAAACATGCGTGAACCGTGATGGGTTTCGGGATAAAAGGTATCGACATTGTTATCGATGGATAAGCTAGGTGTGAGTTCGTCTCCAACAAATAGGATAAAGGAATTCATAAGCACCCACAACTCATGAGCATGAATAAAAGGAAATATAACATCTTCAAATTCTGAATAGAGAAGGGTAAGTGGCCTAGATAGTAAACGGCTCACTGCTAGATCATCGCGACCCACGCTCCGTCCAACTCCATGCTGAAGCTGGTTGCGGCGCACTTCACAAACCGGTTAATTCCAGAGTGGGACGGGACTAGCGATACTTCTGATGAAGACTGAGTTAATGTTGAGTATGGATTTCGGTATACAACCAGAACCTCTTACGGAACTAGTAAAACAGTTTCTGAGCAATAATGCTTTAGCAGAAATGTTGAAATCCTGACACGTTATCGCCTCATAAGCATACCAGGAAAAGATGAACCCACTGGCAAGTCATAAGAGGAAGGGAGTGGAGGGGTTTGTCGTAAACCCTAAATATCATAGACAACCTGCCAAGATCACGGAATCCACAAAGCCAACAACATATGGTTGGATACGACAGATTTTCGTCAGTATCTGCAATACAGCTACTTGGGGGCCTCACTGCTTCGCGCCCCAAACAATTTTGATCCACAGATAAGTAAGCAGAGTGTTAACGTTAGACAGCAGTCCGACTAGAATGTGCGGTCACGCCTAACGTCCAACGAGGCTTCGGGACGAAAATAGTATATGTGCGCTGTAGCCTGGAAAGTGAATACTGAATGCTGAGAATAGAGAGCGAGAAGATAAAAATCGGCGTTGATCCTTCGTAGGTGGATCGATCACATGCGCGGAATCACGTCGCTGATTTCTGCGCGGTGACAGCATATTGCAGCTGCACTACAAGTTATCCGGATGTCATGTGCTCCCTATATCTGTAGTCCGCAAGGTGGGCATTGCGGAATAACTTAAATTCCGATACCGATTTCGCCTCGACTATGGTCTCAGGCAAGTTGTTCCAATATTTCACCACTCGACGCGCGAGGCATAAAGGGTGAGCGATGTGCTTTAAATTCGGTACCACTAGTATGTATCGGTGTCCGCGTGTGCTGCTTGGTGCGAGAACGTGCAGCACGCCCCCAAAGTAGGGAAATGGCTCAGGTGCAATATGCGATGCGTCATTATGAGATCAACACGAAGCCGACAATATCACAGGGTATTCAGTTAGTCTGACGACAGAAGGCCGATGACCGCATTCATGTACCCACCGTGACTCGCTTATGCTGAATGCCGGTCATTTACGATTGTTGTCCCCACCATCCAATAGCCATTGAATGTTTAGCGAAATTCGCAAAATGCTACTGCGTGTGCAGAGACATGAATTTCTCTCTCACCTTAGTGGTGAGAGTGTATGGAATTCTCGGCGGACGAGTTATTTAGTGCAGGGCTCAGCTGCTTGCAGGCGTAAGCTGGTCAAAGACAGACCACATGAGCCTGTTTGGATCATCGAGCGAGATGAGTACAGACAGCCAAAACGTGTTTCCGGCGGTCGTCAGCTGTCAGCTAACTTCGCGCCGAGTGCTGAAGGTCATGGCTAACCGTAGGTGTTGAAGCGATCGATAGTTATCTGTGCGTCTAACTGACCAACATTTGCCACCATCCCATGAAACCAACATTATTCATGAGAAGCCGAACATAAAGATTGATGGCCTTGGGGGAACACATGACGCCTTCAGAAACACAATCCTGACGCGGAAAATGAGAGCGTACATAGCTCTGAGCAATTAATATGTATTGTTTCGTGAACACAACTTATCACACCAAAAGGAGCTAGCGAAACGATTCCGTTCGAACCACAAATTTCTTTACAAACACGCGAATGCACTTGGAAAGTTGCAAAGTGGAATCCCACCACTCTGTACGATTGGTGGGTATACACACACAAGAAAAATGGAGGCCAACACCACACGAGCCCAGTACTGGCCTACTTTCCAGGGGGTACTAGCCTCAAACCTTACACTTGCTTCTGTCCCCACACCATCAGTGTTATTCAGCAACAAAATCACAGCAAAAATGGTTCAAAAAAGCTACTATCCTTGCGTACACACAGCTTTCCTGGAGTGGATAACCTTCATCCTAAAGCACTGCAGGTAGCAGCCATTCACCTAGCCCAACCACTTGCCGGATTCTTTCAGAGAAGTCCGTCTGATCCTGCCAATTACTGTCCGGTAACACTTCTCCCTGTGCTTGCCAAAGTCATGGAAACGATCATCGCTGACGTACAGATGGGCTACCTGGAAAACGACGGCGATGCAGTATTAGGATGGATTGGTAAATTTCTCCGCGAACAGCAGTTAGAGGTTAGAGTCCGAATATCTCTACCCGACCTTAATCTAGTGGAGTGCGACGATCTTGCGAGAGCCATCACCTCAAAAATGTTACATTTCGCGGAGGACGTTAAAAGTTGGCCGGCAATCAAGGGAATAGACGACCACAAGATGCTCCATGTGCGACCTATATTGGACCTGACATTGACCTGTGAGGAATGCACTGCCATTCAATGTATACAAGTGACACGTTGTCCACATCCGCCATAGACACGTCTATCTCTACAAAATTGGGATGTGCGACCTGCAGACAAGCCCTCAGGAATTTGACCTCGGTGTACTGGTGCAGGACGACCTCGGTTATTCCAGACAGTCGGAATCCGTTTCAAAATTGGTAACCAGTAGGTTGTTAGCATGCGGATGGCATTCAAAAGTTTAGACTCTTTCATCTTCTCTATGATGCTCAATGCCTACATGTGTTCCCACATCGAATACGCTATCCAGGCTTGGCACTCTTGGCTAAAACGTGACCTTGCAGCGCTCGAAACTCCCCATGGTCGAGCAACAAAATGTGTCAAGAGATTGTGCAACCTTTCGTACCAGCAGCGCCTAAAAACACTTGCAGTGTTCAGTGGACTCTACAGGTGGCTACGTGGGGACCTCATATTAGCCTACCAGATCCGGAACGACCCCACTTACGCATGTCTCCAGCTATTGCAACTCATCGCAAACAGCAACTACAGAGGCAATAGCCTGAAACTGAGTCAACAAAACACTCGGCTTTTCATTAAGGCTGGACGAACCACAGCTCATAGCGACCCAGTGATTCCGCTATAATCAGCCATAGAACGTTTCGGTGCCTATGCTGTTAATGTGCTCAATGACAGCCTGGACGTTAAAAAATCCATCCGACTGGACGCATCATTAGCACCATTTGCCAGTGGACCAAATTAGTCGTTAACACATTTGTGAAAGAGAATAAGTATATTAACAGAAATGAGTTGGAACAATCATATATGCTAGTGAAGAATATGTTCAAAATGTTCGCCGGCGTTCTGCTTGCAGTTAGCGAGCATCTTCTCTAATGTATCCCTCATGATCACGTGACATATGTCCACAATATATTGTTTCAAATGGTGCAATGTACGCGGTCTTGTTCTATACACTCATCGCTTCAGATAGTTCCATAGAAAAAATCCGTGGGGTTCAAATCTGGTTAGCTAGCAGACCAGTCTATTGGTCCACCGCGTTCGATCCAATGGTGACCAAATTTGTTGGTGAGGTAAGCATGCACCGTTTTAGCAGAATGTGCAGGTTCGCCATCCTGCTGCCACCAAATGGTACTGTATGCCCCTTCGGCCTCCAGCTGTGGAAGCAAAAATGTCTGCAATATTTCCAAGTACGAGGATGCTGGGAAAAGATAAGGCTTCAGTACTTCAAAATAACAATCTACCGGTCACATTCGCAAAAAAAGATGGGCCCAAGATTTTCTGGCTTGTTAATCCGGCCCAAACTATCAGTTTCACACTGTGGTGCATAAGTGATGCGATATATTTTCGAGGGTTGCTAGTAGCCCGAGTAATGTTTCGTTGTTCCACGCAGATGAAACAGTGTCTCATCTGTAAAGATGACAGAAAGAATAATCCCGTGATCTAGAAACCAGCGTCAAA